AATATAAATTACCTCGTTATTGTACATAAATTAAATTATAAGAAAATTGGATTAAAAAATTACACAAAAAAATGAGGAATTTCAAATAGTTAATTTAATACTAATATCGATATATTTTTRTCAAATTTTTATGATATCGTCAAACATATATTTTATTCAAAAATAAAAACATCATCGCTTTCTCAAAATCACGTAAAGCCATATTATAACATCGACTGAGATAAAGAATAAAATGAAATATTAAAAACACGATGTATCTCGCTGCATTGCGCGAGTACGCTTCTAGTATTAAAAATATTTTTTCACAGTATATATAACATATAATAATATAATTAAGTAAAAAACTATTCAATATTGGATTCATTTCGAAGGTATTAACGAGACGATTATAATGGTGTAACTTGTTAAAATAAAAATATATTTTTTAAACATGTTTTAATTGATATACGATTATGTATATTAATTTGATAAAAGTTTAAACTGAAACATTTAAAAGTAAAGAACGTAAAGTAAATTAATTAACTAATTATARGGGTATAAAGTGTAAATTTAAAATTATAATTTTAAAAAATGGGTTGTAAGAAGGTGATTGTAAGTGAGGGGTGAGTGTATGTGAGGAGATGAGGGGGTGAAAAAGTGATATAAAGGGTATCTTGGTTATTTAATATTTTAAGACTTTAAGACTTTTGTTAAATTTGCTTTATAAGATAGTATAGATATAAGTTAATTTATTAATTAAAAAAGTTTGAGGTTGTTGGATTGTTATCATATTCTCGTAAATCACAGAGATTCTCATTTGAACCTCCACACACACACACTTATATATATATATATATATATATATATAAGTGTGTGTGTGCGCGCATGAATTACTTATATCTAATTGATGGCAAACATGACCACCATCAGACATTCTAACACAGTAACATGTTAATAAATGTGAAAGATCGTGCTTGAATCTTGTCGGTGATATTATTTTACCGACAGATTAGCGAAGAATTTTAATTAATTATGTATTTAGTTAAATTTTATTGTTAATCCGTCAGTAATTTAATCAAATTATTTTCTATTTTTTTAGTTTGAAAAATCACCAACAAAATATATTTTATTTTTAATTAAAATAAATTTAATTAGTAATTGTTTTAAAAATATTTT